TCACCAAAACCTACTTAAGCAAGCGTGGCTCCTGCTTCTGGGTGGCTGAGTCTGAGGGGCAGGTGGTGGGCATGGTGGGAGCTCTGCCAGCTGAGGATCCCACCTTGAGGAAGAAGCAGGTGGAGCTGTTTCACCTGTCTGTGGCCTCGGAGTGCCGGGGTCAGGGGATAGCGAAAGCCCTGGTCAGGACGCTCCTCCAGTTTGCACGTGACCAGGGCTACAGTGAAGTCGTCCTTGCCACCAGCATGCTGCAGGTCTCCGCTCTGGCACTCTACCAGAGCATGGGCTTCCAGAAGAGGCACCAGTACTTCTATAAGTGGAGCTGGGCGCTAATCGCCATCAATCATTTCGAATTAATCTACCGGCTGCCGTCTGCTCAGGTCGCTCAGGCACTGCAAGAGAGAGGGGAGCTGTGACCTGTTTTCTGGTGGATTAACCAGGAGAGGATGGGCTCAGGCCCAGGGCTGGTGTGTGCAGCCCACGCAACCTTCTGAGCTAGCTCACCACCAGCACTCAGTGTCCTACACGTCGTATTGTGTTACCCAAGGCCACGATCTTGACCGTGTACCTCCATTCCAGTAGCTTTTCTACCTGGACTTGGTTGGGGTCCCCCTCAGTTCCTTCTCCCAGGCCATCTTCCTCCTCGATCCTGTTGCCTTGCATCTTCCCGTCTTGCTTCCCAGAGAACTATCACCCACCCACCCCTAAAACTGTGCCCCCACTTCTAAGTTTTAAATTAAACTTCTGTGTGCCCTGAATTGTGTTCCGACTTGGACATTTAATGGGGCGACCTGTCCATCTCCCTGGCGGGAAGAGGGAAGGACCAACTTTGATATTTGCTCCCACCACCTCTCCTGGGCCCAGCCAGGTGGCCCTGCAGGAGGAGATCGCACGTGGGCACCACTGGTGCTGGAGACAAGAGAGGCCCACAGTGAATCTCACGCTTCGAATGATTTAAGTAACAAGTCAATGGCTTTAGGAATTTCAGGCAGACATGGTCCATGCCGTCCAGGGGCTTCCAGGCCAGAGGGGCTGAGAGACAGGAGGGGCAAGTGGGCATATGTTGTCTTGAGTGCGGGGGTGAGGGCATCTGGGACTTGGTGTGGGCAAGGACATTGACCCTGAGGAATCTGAAAATGATAGTTGGCACCTATGGGCCTGGAACTTTGGCAAAGATAAGACGTTACTGGTGTGTGTGTGTGTGTGTGTGTGTGTG